TAAACAAAAGTATTATTAATTACAAATTTTAATTAATTACATAAACTATTTTATAATCCTGTATTATCAATATTTAAATATTAATGAATACTAATTATCAAAGTAATCATGACATGTATAATTTCAATTGTGATTATACCATTCATGTTTCAAATATTTACAATAATCAATGGATTTGATTTCAATAATAAATAATAATTTAATTTGTTATTACTTCATTACAATTACTAGAAGATGAAGAAGTGATAATCAGTAATTTATTTACTAATGTTGAATGATGTATCAATGATTGATGAAGAGTGAATAATAATTGTTAATACATTTAATTATCTAATTAACTATTAAAAATCATATAAATTACTTATTTAACTTTAAATTATTATATATCACTTGACTGTATGGAAATATAATAAATGATATGAACAATTGTTAATGAAAATTATGTAATATTTTAATGAGATGTAAATAGTAGTATTACTAAAAAACAAAATAAACAGTACTTAAAATAACAATATAACAAACATATTAACAAATAAACATTAAAATAAGAAAATGGATATTCCAAACAATGAAAATTAATATAAATACAAAAATGAACTATAACACAAAACAAAAACATAATTTTATTTTATCTATAGGAAATAAACAAGTTAGAAAAAGAACAAAAGATTCAGTAAGAGTATCAAAAGTAAAAAGAATTAAATATAAAAATATATAAATAAGAATAATAATTGAAACAAAGATAAGAATTATTTACTTCATGTAATTTTCATCATTTACTATTATAAAACTTACTATGCAACATATTTGTGGTTTTTTCTTCCATTAAAAACTAAAAATTATTCTAGTTTTTTATTAGACTCTTCTTTAATTCTATGTCTCATTTCAGGCGTTATAGTAGGAAATATAAAATAAATGAATAAAAAAGTTCATGGAATTATCTTTATATCTAGAAAAAAAATTATTATTGATGTCATAGAATGAAGGATATTTTATATAAAACTTTTTAATTTGTTTTTTTTATTAAACAATTAGAAGTAAATGAGTTTTATTAAAATGGGAATTAATTATCAATAATTAAAACAATTACTTATAAATCATGTTGAGAATAATGAACAAGGAATGAACGGACTTTTAAATAGAAAGATATAACTTAAGTAATAAAAAATATGTCAAATGAAAAATGTAATAAATACTTAGAACATAACTCATCAAAAATATTTCTACTAAGATAACATTTTAAAATAAAACAATTACAATGTATAAAATTAATACAAATAGTATTTTATATTTAAAAATAATACCTTAACAAACATTCTTTGAATACTCTTTATATATATTTATTTATCTTCTTTAATTGTAAACAATAGTTTATTTATTAAACCAATGTATTAATACAAATTCTTATATAAACGTTAAATCATAATAAATATTAAAATTATTTCTCTTTCTAATACAACCAATTTTTATTTCATAAAATGAGTGATAAAATTTTCAGTATGTGTTTGTTTTTTAGAACTTGTTTGAATAATAAAGTTAAGATCCCTATCATCTCCAAGATACTTTTTTATTATCTTCTTTTTGTTTAATTGAAGTGTTTTCATCATTTCTTTTCCTGTCAGCTCCAGTTCTTCTTCATAACTTGATATAGGTGGTGAAGAAAGAACATAACATCCTTTAATGATTGAATTAATTATTTCATCAATCCCTTCTATCTTCTTATCTATTATTTTAACCTCTTTATTTAATACAATAGAAGATATAATAGTCTGTACTTTTTTAAATAAAGACGGTGATTGAATAAGTGGTGTGTAAAGGAATCTCATAAAAAGAAGAGTGTTAATTGCTTTTCTTGCTTCTTCTTCATTTCTCTTTAATTTAGTTAATGAATAAATACCATTTAATATATAAAATAAGTCTTTAGGAATATTACTAAGTGCTTCTTTTAATAATCCACAATATGTTGAAATAGCATATTCTTGCTCAGTTTCATTTAATAAACTTAGATCAGTTTGAACTCTTTGTATTACTTCACTAAATTTATTTGTAATATTTTCAATAATTATTTCACAACTTTCTTTTAAATACAATGAATATGCCTTTGTGAAAGCTGTATTTCCTCTAAATAATGGATTACACTTCTTAGTCCATTCAATTTCAAGTTCTGCCATTTGATAAAGTAATCTTGGTACTTGCTTTCTACATTTGAAATAATGAAATAATATGTCAAAATGAGAAGAGTCATTAGTCTCTTTCTTTAATAGCTAGTGGTAAATTTATCTCAATTTTAATTATGTTAAGTTTTAAAGACTTTATAAGGAATAAAAATAAAAGAATAAAACGACAAACCGCTTTTATATAAGCCTGAAGTAAAAATGATGGAGGTGTTAATAACATTGATTGTAATTGATAGAATTGATCCTCTGTCTCTGTATCTTTTTTAATTGTTTCTACTCTAGGAGATAATGCTGGAGATACAGTTGCAGAACCTGAAAGAGAAGAAGAACTTTCTATAGCTTCACTCATTCCTTGGAGTGAATTGTGAACAGCTAATGGTGGTGACTGGCGTTCAGAAATGACAATAGGAGGTGTACTTAGTTGAAGAGCTAACACTGCGCTATTCATTAGAAATAGATAATATTTAGATATTTTCAATAAATCTAAGTTATAACCTTAGTCAAAGAAAAAACCTTTTCTGAAGACTATAAAGTGTCTCTCTAAGAGTCAGATAAAATTCTTAAATTAAGAAAAAAATCTCAAAAGATTTCTCAATGAAGAATTTTTCTTTCATTCTTATTTTTTTATTTTTTTTTTTAATACGAATATTCCGTTTTATATAACAAAAAATACCTATCAAATTAATATCTTTCAGGTGCGTGAAATGCATTTTTTGAAACTTCCTATTAATTAAATACTTTAATATAAAATAACTATAAACAATCAATAACTGAAAATTTACTTTTACATTGAACTTTTTATTGAAATACTAAACAAAATAATGAAACTTAATTGTAAAAGGAAAAAATAAATGGAAAAGAAGATGAACGTCATTTTTGTAATACTAATTTTGAAAATGAAGAAAGGAATAAATAGAAATTAATATAAAAAAAAAATGAAGTATAAAAATCAAGAAAAGTCAGTAGAAGCATTAGAAGAACCTATTTTGTATGAACGTAGTACTTTAGGAAACGAAAGATTTTGTCTATAAAACTAATTAACCTGAACTAAATAACACATTTTACAATGACTTCACCATTGAAACGCTCTAAATTTCAAGACCTTAATAAACATAATACTGAACTTGAACCAGATGATATTTATAATAGAAAAGATTGTGATTTAAATAATGATGTAAATTTATTCTTTTCTATATGCATCAATAATTGTAATGAATGGAAAGAAGATGACTCTTATCTTCCACTTGAATCATTTTATCCATGTGTAAAACCGAAAGCTGTTCATGTAGTCCAATTTGAGGAGGATTATTAATTATCTTATTACTTTGGACTATGTCAAATAAAATTTGTTATTAATTCTTTTCATTCAATTCTTTTCTGTTAAATGTTTTAAATAACAAAATAATAATTAAAAAAAAATAATAATAACAAAAAATTAATGTAAAAAATTTTTTGAGAAAAAAATAGATAAACTTATAATAAAGTTTTAATACATTTTTAATAAATGTTACAACCATCCACATATTATTCTGATAGTAATTATATTTATTCAACTGATGGACTACAATTAACTAATGCATCAGAAATTAGTATTGACTCATCAATACAAAGACCTATAAAACACTCATTTTTAAATCCTGATTTATCAAAGAAACATAATACATTAACATTCATTCTTTGCTTTTTGTTAGGGGTTTGTTATAATTTTCATGGGAATATTACAGCTGGTGCATCAATTGAAATTGGAACAAAATTAGGTGAAGTATCACTATTTTATTATCTCCCTAACTTATTTTATCTTTCTAATGGAACTACAATTGCATTTCTTGTATTTTTATCATTTGTAACTCCTAAATATCCATATTTTTCATTTTCATGTATTTCTTTAATTGGACAATATGTACTAACTTTTGTTATGATACCTTTATTTCCTCCTGTAATGAAATTGTTTAACCATTTAGATCAAAACACAATGCACACTGTTCAAAGTATTGCAATTTCAGTACTTTCATTAATTAATGGATGTTTATCTGCAATTAACTTTTCTACATTTATTTATATTTCTTCAACACTTTCACCACAACATTTAATTGCTTATATGGTTGGTAGTTCAGGTGGACCTTTTCTAGCCTCATTAATTAATCTTATTGATACTACATCGACTGAATCAAATAAATGGGTGTATCTTATTATTGTTTGTGTTGGTATATTAATTGCTCCATTAATAATTATTGTCTATTTCTTCTTTTGTTATAAAACTATTCCTCATTTTCATTCTTTGTTTCATATCACTGAAGAGACTTCATTCCTTTCTATTAATAATAGAATTCCATCAAGACTTAGAAGATTATTTTTATCTACAAAAGCATCTTTATTAGAAATTAAGAATGTTGTTGTAACATTAAAATATTCTGCTCTTTCTCTTCTTCTTGTTTCAATTTGTTCAAGTTATATTTATCCAGGAATATTAAATAATTTTAGTGTAACAACAGTTACCTATGATGGTAGAGTAGTTGATAACCCTCATTATACTTATCATCTAAATCTTGTAACATTTGTATTTACTGCATTTGATTTAATTGGTTCTATCCTAACATTTTTACCTATTGAACCATCAAAAAAATCATTACTTGGTTCAAGTATTACACGGTTAACAATATTTACTTTATTTTGTTCAGTAATAAACATTGGCAATTTATTTGTTATTAATAACAATGAAAATGATCCATTGATTCAAAGCACTGGATATTTTTTTGGTTTCATTAATATAGTGTGTGCTCTTTTACTTGGTATAACCCAAGGTTATCTTGTAACTCATTCAATACTTAAAATTTCAAAACATGTAGAAGAAAAAGTTGGTACTAATGTGACATTAATTATTATATCTCTTGGTTCAATAATTGGAACAACAATTCAAATCATGGTTTTATCCATATGCTCAGCGTTGTAATTCTCTTCTTTTTGCTTTTCTTTTTTTTTCTGGTTTATATCACACAATATTAACAGGGTATTTTTAAAAGAAACTATAATTAATAATAAATTTATTTTATAATACCATTTTGTTAATTGAAATGGCATTTCAATATCTCTTTTTTTTACTTCATGATAGCAAGTTTATTATTTTATGTAGTATGTTGTGTTGCAACAGAAGACCATAACGCATTTGATATGAAATGGTTCCCATATGATACACATGGTGAATTTTTTATTCATCCATTCTTTTCACTACTTGTTTGTATAGTTGCTATTGGAGTATTATTACTTCCATGTTTAGTACTAATGAATCTGGAATTATACCAACAACACAAACAACAACAGCAACAACAACAATGTGAAATAACGAAGTAAATTGTAATGATTTTTTTTGTTAATTCAGTTTAATAGTAAAATAATAGTTTTAAAATAATAAAAGAAAAGTAATGAAAAAAACTAGAAAAAGAAATAAAATAAAATGCCAAAAGAAGGGTTAAGTGTTTTGACTGAAAAACAATTAGCATTTTTCTTCCCAAAAGAAGAAGAAGAAACTAATGGAGATGAAATTATTATTAAACGTATCTATGCAATTAGTGAAAATGTAGAACGTAGAAAAAATATTCAAAAGTTTACTAAACTTGAAGTTCCAAGTGATTCAGAAGATATTGTTTTAGTTTTCCCATCACAAATTGCTCAAGCTGAATTAGCAGAACAAGAAGTTGATGAAGAAGAAGTTAAAAAATCAGAAGAAGATGTTATTTGTTCTGGTTGTGGAGAAAAAGGTCATTTCTTTTTCAATTGTCCACATAAAGACAGTCGTAAAGTTTCATCAGAACCACAACAAAAAGTTGCTGATTCTAATATATATGTTCCAATACATATGCGTAGACAAGCTGATGGAGATTATAATCCAGATGTTTCAATTAGATTATCAAATATTCCAGCTTCAGTTGATGAGACTGTTATTAAAGCGTTATATCATAAAGTTGTTGGTAATGAAAAACAAATTTTAAGAATCTTTTTCCCAAAAGATTATGTTACTGGAGAAAGACGTGATTATTGTTTTATTAATGTTGCAACAAAAGAAATAGCTCAAAATGCTATTTCAAAATTAGATGGTTATTTACTTGAATATGCTAAACTTGCATGTGCTATATCAAAGAAACGTCAAAATTGAATTTGATTATTATTTTGTTATCAAGTTATAGTATTTTTATAGTATTTTAAATTATTTATTTCTGTGATACTTTTTTTAAAAAGATTTAATAGACAAAATTATATATTTTTTTCTTAATGGTGACAACATTAAAATCCATCATTCATTCTATTTTGTTTTACATTTACATTCAATGCACAAATGCTTTTGTTGAATCTATTAACACTCCTTGTATTACTCAAGTTGAAGCAATATCAGATAGTATGCTTTTAAGTAAAAGTATGGAAAAATTTTCTACTCATGTCACTAAGGAATATTGTTACAGTGAATTGCCTAATAGAAAAAGTGAAATATATGGGATTAATATTTCTGATGATTGTTATGTTTATTCAAAACAAAGATATATTCATTTATATAATCATACAATTTCTAGGTGTGGTCAATGTATTGAAATTATTGGTCCATCATTGATGCCTTATAAATGTATGATTTCTGGATGGTTTACATACAATGGATCTGATATTAATGATAATATATTAAATAATATTATTCTTGTAAATGATATTGTTGCAAAGAAATTAGTTTCAGAAAAAGAAGAGTCAGGGTTTCAAATAGCTATGTCTTATTCTTCTTGTAATTATGTAGTATTACCATCGTTAATTGTTATTCGTTCTAATTCAACAACTTTAACAATATTAGTGTATAATACAAATGAACGTCTTTACTCAATTAGTAATGGAGTGTGGAGTAATGTCATTGATAAAGATGGTTATTTTTATATCGACCCTCCTATCAATGGGTTTTACGAAAGGTTGGTTGTAAGTTCAATAGAAAGGAGAACAATTGTTTTCAATAAAATTACTTCACAAACGGGAAAGGTTTATCATCCAATTTCACAATTTAGTAAAGTAAAAGAAAATAAAAATTGTTGTTTTATTCCTTCTAAAATAATTTTTAGTAATACCATTAATTATTCAGCATTAAATGCTGGCTTTAAATATTTAGTTAGTTCATTTACAATCATAAAAAATCTTTTTATTAACGATAAAATTGAAGCTACCCAAGGTGTAGTTAGTACCCAATCTATTTCATTACTTCTTAACGGAAAAAGAAATGGGATTATTATTCAATACCCTACATCTATTCAAGTCACAAAACATTTTAAAGAAACAGTTATTCAGATAAATTCATCATCATTGGTTGTTAAAGAGATATACCTTGCACAACTTAATTTAGTTTCACAAAATGACTCAAGTAATGTTCATATCTTACTTGATTTAAATGAAAATTGTAAATTCTTCATAGAAAAAGCATTTTCTAATCAATACAATCTTAGGATCGGACTCAACCAAACAATTAAAGGATTTTTTAATTCATTAATAATTGACTTCGAAACTAACGATTCTTCTATTCAAATAACTTCCGCTGAAAGCATTGAAAGAAATGAAAAATCAATGGTAGGATGTACTATAGATTCTTTCGATTGTAATTATACTGAATGTTCTGTATCAAATGATAGAGATTGTTATCAATATTGTGGAAGTTGTATGCCTGGGTTTCATTGCACTTCTTCTGGATTTTGCGAAATATCTACCTCTATTCCTTCATCATCTTTCTCATATGTTCATTTCTTGGTTTTATTTCTAATTTTATTCGTATTTATTTAATATTTTATTTATTATAAAACAATTATCAAGATAACTCTCAACTCCTTGATGAATTTCTTTTATTCTTTTTCTTAACTTGTTATATTTAAAAAGATAAAACAAAAGATTTTTAAAAATGATATATTTTATAGAATGTTAAAAGAATTTATATATTCTTTTTCTATCTCTATGTTAATTATAATTAGATAGACAGAAAATCTTAATAACAAAATCTATTTGTGTTGGTTTTAGGTTTATACAATTCAATAATGATTTATATCCTTTATTTTTTAATAATTTTATTTTTTTTTATATATGAAACAGTTCAACCAATTCAATAAGAACTGTTGACCAAAAAGTTATTTGGTGTTTCTTGTTGTAAATGTACTGGAAAAGTAGTGACGTAATGGTGTTGGAAAATGAATATAAAATAAATCAGTATATAAAACACAAATGGGTTTTTAAATAAAGAAAAAGGGTTTTTTGTTTTTTCATTAATTCTTTTAGAAAAAACAAATAAATAAAAACAATTAATGACTGCCGTTATTGGACTTCCCAATGGTGCTTTAAAACTAGTATCATTACAACCACCTAAAATATTAGCAACAAGCAAGGCTATCACAAAAACACCATCCACTGTTAATTTCATTGAATTTGATCCAAGTATTCCAGAGTCATATAGATACAGTACCGGTTCAGTTATTATAGCACTGTCACATTCGCCAGTTTTATATAAAATTAGTATTGATCCATATACTATTGAAAAATTTCCATTACCTTCAAAACATCCAATTGTGATGATGAAGTTAAATGCTAGTCAATCTAGTTTGATGTATTCTAGTCATATAGAAGTCAACTACAAACCAATTGGTCAACAAGCCTTACTTGTGTTACAAGGAGATGGGACTTTAACTAAAATTTTAAATAATAAAATTGAGTGGAGTATTAAATTAAAAAAATGGGATCTTAGAACAGAAGAATTGATTGAGCCTTTATTAATTGATGAAGAGTCAAGCGAAAGTAGTGAAGAAGATGATAACAAGTTTGATGATATTAAAGATATCAATATTGATGATATAATTGAAGATGTTGTAGACATAGATACAAATAAACAAGAAGAAGTAGATGACAATACGAAGAAAGATGAACAACAAGATGTTAATAATGAAGAAATTAAAAAAGAAGAAAAATTAGGAGGTAATAATACGATTGAACAACAAGACGACAACAATGACGATAATGAAAAAAAAGAAAATAAAGAAGAAGAATTACCACAAATTATTAAGAAAAAGAAATACATTATCCCTACAGAAATTAAAGGGTTATATGGTATTTTTGGATTAGGTGATGGATTTGTTATTGGATCAAATAAAAATGCTCTTCCAATAAGGAGATATACTTTTTCAAATGAAGTTCAAAGTTCACCACCATGTGATTTAAAGCATATTTCAATTTGTGTTATTGATGAAGAAATATTTTTAGGATGTAGTAATGGTATGATTCAAAGATATTCATTTGAGAGTAGAAAAAGGGCAATACTATCTCATTACAAGAAGGTATATAAACCAGATGACCTTGCTCATCCAGTTGAAAGGATGGATAAACGTGAAGAGGTACATCCAATGATTACTGTTCAATTGTCTTCATTCCCTATTATTTCCATTTGCCCTATTCCTAATTCACGATTAATAGCTTGTGGAACAAGTGCAGGAAGGGTTTATCTTTTTAATACCATTACAAATACAGTTGTATGTTGTTTGAAAGGTCCTCAAGGCAGTGTTCGTTTATCTTCAGTTCATAACTATTTGGTTGGAATTTCTTTAGATAGATGGATGTATGTATGGGATCCAATCAAAAAAGTTCCTATTTCTAAGACTTATCTTCATGGTCTTCCAAATGCTTTAGTTCTTCATTAATTTGATTGATTATTAATTTATGTTATATAATACAAAATTATTAATACGATAACTACTCTAAAATAAAGTATCTTGGCTTCTACACACTTGTTCTAAATATATTATAATTAAAACTTAGTAAAAATATAATAAATTTTTAATAAATAATCAAAAAATAATGAGTTTGAAATAAAAAGATGACGTGGTAATGAAAAGTTGTCAATCTGATAACTAGAAAAAAGATTTGATGTTATTCTTGTTGTTTATCACTCTGTGCTTTGGACAACATGTTGCCAACATTGCACCAGCTGACGTTGAGAATTTTATTAATGAACAAAAATTTACATTTCTTTGTTTTACTGACCCAAAAGATTCAAAGATGTTGACTAAGAAAATGGAAAAAATGAGTTCTAGTTTTGAAGAAGTCACATTTGGTATTTATAATGCATCATTAGATGGAGAAGTAGAGACCAAATATTCTATTTCATCATTACCATCATTCATTCTTCAACGACCTGGCTATCAAAAGAGATTTTATTATGACAGTTGGAGTTCTGATACTATTTTTGAGTTCTTAAAAGAAGGCACTTCTCCAGTTGCTGAGCATATTAGTTTTGAGAAAGGACAAGAACTTTTAAAGGAAGAAACAGCTAAAGAAGAAAAAGGTAAAAAGAAAGGAAAAAAAATTCATCCATTCTTTTTATTAGTTGCAAAATCCGAAACAGACAAAGAAATAATCAATAAATATATCGCTACTGCTGACGAATTAAAATTATCAGTAGAAGATCATTTCTATATTACTGAAGGAGATTTAGCTCTTTATCATAGAAATAAGGATGGAGTTATGACTTGGGATAAAAAGTTTGAACTTGACTGGTGGATGAACGTAGTTATTTTCCCAGTTTTTTCTAAATTAAATGATGCTATGACTGATATGCTTGACTTCAATCATCAATTACCAATATTCTGGTATTTCTCTGCTAAACATAATCAAACTGAACATGACACTATCAAGAGACTTGCTGAAGAATATCGTTTAAAGATGCTTTTCATTCAAGTTGATGGTAAGGACATTGAGCTTGGATTATATGGACAAACATCTGCACCATCTGCTACAATTCTTCATGCAAATGGAAGAACTATGTATCCATTAAAAAGCCTTGACAATATAAGTGAGGACATTACAAATTATTTCAATAATAAATTAAATCCATTAATAAGAAGTAGTAAAGACAAGACAGTTATCCCAGAAGTTCAAGCTGAACAACTTTTAAGAAGTGAATTTGATGATGTTGTTAAAAATACTAAGGACTTGGTTATCTTTGTTATTGACTCTTCACCATTCACTTTGAGTGTTTTAAAGAGAGATATTGCTGCTTTCCTCAATCGAACTCATGAAGTTACTGCATTCAAACCATATTGGATGAATTCTGATACTGATGACGTTCCAGTAGAAATTCAATTCACTAATGTACCCGCAGTTTTAGTACATACTAATGGTGCTTGGAATACTATGGATACTTACCCATCTCAAAAAGGAATTATGGACTTTATGTCACAATTCTTTAAATTTGAAGCATTACCAGAAATTCCTGAATCTCAATTACCACCATTAGAAGAGGAAGATGAGGACGACGAAGATATAGAAGATGACATTGATGAAGAACTTGAAGAAGAAGATGAACGAAAACCAAAGATTGAGTTAACTGTTGAACAAGTTAAAGAATTATTAAAAGACAAGTTTGTTTTAAGCACTCTTGAAGAAATCAATTGGAAGAAATTATTTAAAGTCGGTAAAGGATTTAGTGTTGACGATGATAAGTCAATCAAAAAGTTAATGGGAGATGATACATTTATGAGTTTAATCACACCCTTCTATCAAGAACTTCATCCTGTCAAAAGGTCAGTTAAACCAAAACACCAACGAGATGAACTTTAAGTTACTTACTTTATTCAATTAATTATTAAGGTCATGTTTCTTTTTTCTCCAATCCTCAATAGGAGAATATTTTCTCTTTTTTGTATTAGTATATTGAAAAATTGAATAAGTATTATCAAAATAACAAACTTGTTTTTTGTATCATTCAAATGTAAATCCACTAAAAGTTTTCATCAATATTATAAGATTAAAAGAAAATATAAGAGGTTATTAAAATATTATGATATTTTGTTTTATTTTGTATAGAGAATCTTTATAAAAATACAAAAAAATATATAAAAATAGTTTATATAGTAAATTATTGTGATGCCATTTTTTTCTAAAGTATATTATTTAATTGACTCAGACATTATAACTGACAATGTTAAGAAAGGTAGGTACTGTGTTAGACACAAAATTGTGTGATTAACAAAATAAATATTAATTATCATTTGTATTATTATTTTTTAATAAATTTTATAATTATTCAAAAAGAAGTAAAATGTGAAATTGAAAATGAATTACTGACATATTTTATTCATTAATTAATGCTATGAATAGAGAACTTATGCATATTCTAAGTATTTCGTTTAAATGATACTCATTTAATTGGTGAATTGGTCAATAATGTTGTTTAATTTCATCTTTTCATTGTCTATTTATTATAATATTCAATTTGTTTTTATTTATGGTTAGTGTCTATTGTGTAAGTCATTTCATATGAAAATCAATAATAAATAAGTCTAAACAATGATGATAAAGAGATATGAATAACATTGTATTTTATTTGCAAGTATTATACATTATTTATTTCTCACACTAAAAATTTATCTCAACACTAAAACAATAATAAATATAAAATTTAACAATAAACCAATGAGTTGAAAGATAATGAAATATATATTTTCAACAGTAAATAATGCATGAAGAATTTGACAAATTAAAATATAAATAAATATCAACACAAATATACATTTTAGATATATCTTTAATGAAAATTTTTATTGTTTTTGCTTTGAAATTGTTGATTGGAAAGAGTGATAAATAAAATAACATGTATTTGAATATTACAAGAGAAAAGAAGAATAACATCATACTGAATATTGATAAATTAAATAATCAATATAATGAAGAATAAATCAGAATTAGAAGAATAGTGATTTGTTAATAGCAATTTTTAATATTTTTAACATTCAATTTTTAATATTTTTAACATTCAATTTCTAATTAGATAACAAAAAATAACAAAAATTATAATATTTTAATCAGAATAAATAAACATGATGAATAAATAATGAGAATGATAATAGAAATTAAACAAATAACAGTAACAATATAAGAAAATTGTTAAAGAAAGAAAATAAAGAAAAGAGAAATGAAATTATGTGATTAATCCAAATGAAACATTGAATAAAAATGCAATAAGATAACATGGAAAAGAATAAATGAAAAACTAGAAAAATAAAATAAGAGCAATGACAAGAAAAAAAATGAGTATTATACAAATTGAATTAAAATGTTTTTTTATACAAATATTAGAATATACATTAATGTTTTATATTTTATTTCAAACAATTGTATATTTTAAGTAATAAAAAGAGAAAAGATGATAAAAACAAAATTCGAAACAACAATTGTATTAATAATGAAATAAAGTTGATTTAACAAACATTGAAATGCATAAAAATGTACTAAACAATGAATAATCTGATTAAAGTGAATGATAAATTATAATTTAAATATTAATGATATGATGATATAAACATATTAATAATAAGATATTAAAATCAAAATGAATAAATAAGTTTTTAATTAAACATAATTAAAATAAAGAATAATGAGAAAAAAGAATCAAAATATTTTGAATTATTGGAATATTCCATTTATTATATTTTGTTCCTAAAGAAAAATAAATAAAATATGATATATAAACAAGTTATAAATATTTATGTTTATATTTTATAATC